GTTGGGCAGTCCCCAGATCCCAGGCCCAGCCCCAATGTCCAGGGCAGGGCGTCTTTCCTGTGGGTTCGGCCAGATGGCGGACCACCATGACCAAAACACTAAGAAGAAATGAGCTACGCCTCATCGACTGCAGAGGTTCTCAGCATTGCACGCACAGCTATTCAAATGTATTATTCCAACCTGACTGAACTCCTTCTGAAAAGTTATGTACAAAACTAGAGAAACCTGCAGTACTGAAATAAAAGGCAGTGTAGACAGTCAGCCCAGGACTTCATCAGTTCTGAGTAAAGAGTAGATTCACTTGGAAAATACAAATGAATCTACTTGGGGAATGTCAAGATCCTTGGAAAGGAGTCAAAGTGCCATAGTTTAATCCTGCCAAAGACGTCTATCTTAGCTCATAGCTGGGAGCAGAACTGGGAGCAAGTCCACACTGTAAGGAGCACCCCAATAACTGATGGGTCAATTTAATCCAAAGGCTTCATGCTGAGTTTTCAATACTTACATCCTGAAGGCCAATGGTTAAATGGAAAGCTCCTCTGATTATTTTACATAGTATTCAAAACTGCAGAATTATTTCAACAAAGAAAACACAAACACTTCTTATAAATAGAGCATAATTTAAAATAGCTGTCTAGAAAAGGGCATTTTTGAATATGTATTTCTTGGGGTTAATTCACTTATTTTTGAAGAACATAAGTGATACACACTAATTTTTAAAAACAATTTTACTCTTTATTCATAAAACAGTACGTTTCTACTACGTAAGTTTCATCCCCTAGGCATGCACAACCACTTGAACTATTTAAACAGTTTAAAACAAAACAAATGAGAAGACAAGGGAAAAAGAGCTCTCCTGGTGACTTACATAGCTTTTGGTTTTCTAACTTGATTGAAGAAAGTTATTAGGGGAATCTGTCCAATTCACACTTTCTGTTCCCTGATCAAATACTTTAGGGTCAGACATATGGTTTACTGATTTTTTGCTCAAGCAAACAATTAACATCTTTGATAAGGAATTGTAATGGCAATTATAAGGTAATATGGTGTATGGTAATATTATGCTGCCAAAGGAAACATGTGAATATGATTAAATTCAAGCCCAGTACTGGGTAGCTCTAGATTATTAAAGATAATTTTATCCATTCAAGTCCCCTCTGTTAAGCTGCACATTGACACGTATTTGTTCCCTGTCTTGTTAAATAAATAGAGAAACCAAATTAGAGGAAGTCCTGCAGATTTCTGAGAATTTAATTATACCCTTAAATTGCAATACCAATGATATATATGATTAGATTTCTGTACTGAGTAATTACCTGAATTAACTTCATTTTACAATGCTTAATTTATTTTGTACTAAGGAAGACTTTTAACTATTTAAAATAAACCAACCTAATTTTGATTTTTTACTTGCTTCAACGTGTTTCAATTCATTAATGTTTCAATAATAAGGAATGAACTCTCTTGACAAACCAAGCATGGAAATTTCCTCATAAGAGAAAAGAAGAAATTAAAATGATTTCCATATTCAAGTCACAGCACGCTGAAGAGAATTTTGAGTTCTTAGGAAAGGCATCTGTTACCTCCAAAGAAGGGCCACTCATTACAGTTTTGTGGAAATATTACAGTAGGGCCTGCCAAGAAGGAATTCAAGGAAATTGGGAATGGCGACATTGTGATCCCAGGTCATTCTCTTGAGCAGAGGTTTCCTTTCCTTACGTGTTCTGCCCTCGCTAAGCTCTTTCTGAAATCAAAGGCCACTGATATGCATAACAATCCATGCTAAAATCCAAACATGACACCAACAGCAAACAATTAACACTGTGATCGCATTGTGGTCCCCAAGATATATCTTGAGATACTTCGGAGATAAGCTATATTCTCTATAAATCAATTTACAGAGGGTTTTTATGATTCTTGCTTTTTATAAAATGAAATACACTTCTATAGTATTAAAATCAGTGAACAAAAGAACTGCAGCACTTACTCCCCTACCCCCAAATGTTTGCTCCTTTGCATTTCACAATTCATATTCATATCTGGACGACAGTTAACCTCCAGTGGCAAAGATAAGAAAATGTGAAAGAAAAATAATACAGATTGTTTCCAGACCTTTCTTGTTTACGGACATTAAAATAACCTCAACACCAATCTATTAAGATGCCGCCTGAAAGCACATGGAAGTGGCTTAGAATCCATGCCGCTGAGAAAGTTAGGAAATTCAAAGTGTAACATTAATTGAATCAGATGAATGACTTCTCCAAGCACTGGAGTCACAGGGACTTGAATATAATTTGGGGTACTAGGTAAGTGGTTGAAGAACGTGTTCTTTTTGATGAAGAATACTGACACTGTTTCAGACTTTCAGATGCCAAATTATGAAGATCATTAAGAATGTCAAAACACATACCATTCCCAACAGTGAGAACTCTTCATATCCTACCCAATAAGCCACAACAACAAAAAACCCCTGGCATCCATTTACCCCTTTGTACTTCCAAATATCCAAAGAATCACGCAACCACTCAAATAACAAGAGATCCAGGGGTGTTTCAACCATGTGCAAGAAAAATGCTTAAAGGCAAAATTCCTCAAGCACATGTCACAGTGTGGGAACTGAGAGCCATTCCCTCTGTAAATCCTGTTAAAATCCCTTTTACATGAAGGGATGTGAAGGCTGTGAGGAAAACCACAGCTATCTACAACCAGAGGTGCTATTTTCTCTCTTAGATCACAGTAATTGTTATATCCCCAAATATAACAAACTCTAAAGTCAAGACTTTTCTTGACAGAGAATCATTCTAAGTACAAGTATTAGCCTTAACCACCAAGCCCAGGTTAGCTAATGAAATAAAAATTTCTCAATACCAGCGTGAGACTTCAGGGAAAGATTAGAATAAGACAAAAACAACAACAAAAAAACCCAACAAAACAAACAAATAAAAACTTCTCAATAGAAATTTTCTCTGGCGGCTCCAGCTCAAATATCTCCCCCCTAGTTCTGGAGCAGGCAGTGGCTATTGCTCTAGTACAGCTGTCTTTTTAATTCCAGACTCTTTTCCAGAGAGCTGCTTCTTGGTCTATCCCCTGGGTTCTTTATTACTTGCGCCCTCCCTATATATAAATCATTCTAATTGCTTCTGTTTAAGAAGATTCAATGACACACTGTGGTCCTGTGTTCAATAAACAGCACACCTAGAATACTGTTTGCTCTAAGAGAGAGGCCTACGGTGGGCCATGGAAATGCACATTCTACCCAGTACTCAGGGGGTTTCAACTCTGTGCAGCCCAACCCTATTGCATAAGCAGAGTCAGCTCCATTGAAGCTAGTATTCTGTTGGGCTCCCTCTTCTACAGAATCCCTTGACTGGGTTCTGCTGGGAGTAGGAGAAAAGCCAAGAGGGAAGAAGACAGGACACCAGTAGGCAGGGCCATTTCAAGTAGTGTTGGTTAGGCTGGGATCATGGGACAGGAACAGGTTTTTAGGCAGGGTTTGGAATATCAGAGTAACAGTATCTACCACCACAGTCAAACTTGGTGACCAAGATGGAATTTCCTGATCCAAAATGTTGCCATGAAATATGGCTGCTGCTTCGTGAGCCTTACGGAGTCTCAACAAGCGGGGACAGGAGGTGTGGGGAAGGACAGAACGAGATGGAATAAACTACTAATCCATCTCAAACATGAACCTACACTATGCCTGTTTCTGTATTCTCTTCATTTTGTTGGGCTTTTCTAGGTGATTTTTCTGCTAACTTCAACACTTTAGGGAATATACTTGGTTTTCCTTATTACTTAGGGGAGGTGCTATTTCAAACGACCACCCCATGTTGAACAGAAAAAAAAGATGTATTGAATGAATAGACCTTGAATATTGTTTCTTTCCTATTTTAGAATGAAATTCGGTTATTGGAAATTTTTAGCAGGTGTCCATCCAAAATAAGTCATTGCTATAATTCACTATGTGACATTTCAGCAAGCCCACTGGAGACAGTGGGTGACATTGTAAAGGGAAGGCTCTGTCTTGAAATTTGAACTGCCTGTGAAGCCTTCCAACTGGGAAACTGGAAACTGGTCAGAGTTCCCATTAGGTTCTAGTCTGCCCCAAACCAAAATCCTGGAGGTGGGCGCAAGAGCAGGGACTGGGACATGCTTGAGCTACAGGCAACAGCAAGCCTCTCTGATGTCTTCCCTAAAGTTGGGCAGAATCGCCCATCAACTTCAACAATTATAAGGGTAACACCTTCGTGGATGCCATGGCTACCATACTCGGGAAGAGAGTGGCCCATATACCAAACCCAAGCGTTTTACAAGTTTGAGGGAGTCCGAGGGGATGCATGTGCACATCTGGCCCCAACTGGTGAGCTGGAGGCCATGGCAGCCAGGCTGGAGGAAGCACCACGGAGCGTTCTATTAGTCCAGTGGTTCTCAAACTCAAGCATGTTTCAGAATCACCCAATGGTAGTTACTCAGCATGGGGCAGGGCCCAATAACCACATTTCTAGCACATTTCCAGACAGCGAAGCTGGTCCCAGGACCACACGCTAAGAAACACCAGCTTGTTGCTCCACTGCCCTCCTACTCAGGCTGAGGAGCAGGAGGATGGATTGTACCCCTGGAGGTGAGTGGCACTGTCTTCGCATGGTCCATTGTGTGCTCTGCACAGTGATGTGCCAAGAAGGGGCTCATGATCAGTTTCTTTTCATACAGTCCTTGCACAGTCTCCTCCCTGACAAGGGGAATGGCTCTTTGTCATTATACTAATTCTCTGAAGACAGTCATAAAATATAATGATAAAGAAGCAACGCTGTTAGAACAAGCATATAGCCTCCTGGTTTGAAATGCTTTGAAAACAAACCATAGCCATAACACAGATAACACACTTCCTATGTAATCATTCTAATTAATTCCTCTAAAATCCCGGCATCTACACACGCAGCTCTCTTGTCACAGGTTTGGCCACTATGTCCTCAACTCCAACGGTACAATCCTCTTTGGTGTTAATGGACTCTTTCGTATTTCTTTCTTTTCTTGGTTGGGCTGTTCTGAATTGTAGATAATCTTTCAGTGTTTGTGGCTGAGCCGGTTTGCTGTGCCTGCCCTGGGTTATTTTTCATAAGATGTCTGGAGGAGAGACTTTCCAAAACATGCAACTCTTCCTTAGACGTGGTTTTTGCCAAATTTTGTTTCAAAAGTAACCCTGGATCTGACAACTCTGAAGCTGGCAAAACCCTGACAGCTTTGCTTTTTTCCACTATTATTTCTCTTGGGACTAATCGATCACTTCCAAGAGAAACTCTCTTGCGGTGGTCGAAGTCTTCCGCAGAGCTGCAGTTCCTGCGTTTCTGTCGGGTTTTGGCCACTCGTGGACTTTGTTTTGGACCTGGTGATGCTGACTCACAGCTACAGACAGGGCTCCCACTTAGAAGCCCTGTCTTTAACCGCTCCCCAGGATGAGGTTTTTGCTGGCCACTAGTGACTTCTGGCTGGGTCTGATTAACTTTTTCCAGCTTTTGAACAGGAAGCCCCCAGTGGCTCTCAGCTGCCTTTATGTAATCCTTTGCTAGTCCCGTGGATTCTGATGCGGGACTGGAGGAAGCCTGACCATCATTCCTCCTCCTTGCTATCTCTGCAATCACTGAGTTACTAGATGTTTCCACAGTGTCTCTTCTGGTCTGTGATTTGCTCGTGATGCTGCTTTTTGTTTCAGTTCTTTTCACACTGAAACAAACAAAAATGATTTTATGGTTTGTGAAGCTGTCACGGCACAGTTTCCTCCAAATTCCCTCTACCACATTTCCTACACCTGGAAAAGGAGGCAGGCACTACCTGCCTTCTTGCCTCCCCAGCAAATCTGGAAACACCCCCTACAACAAGTGTATGTTTAAATGCAGATGGAATCAAGCAAAAACCTTCACATTTTCCATTATACTAGGATATACCTGCTTATCAATCATTGGGTTAAAAATGAATTTATGATGGTGTTCACTTTTTAACTAAGGCAAACAGGTATTCATTTCCGATGTTAAGGGTCAGTACTGCTTATATGCTGACCTTTTTTTTTTTTTTTCAGGAGTAGACTCAGGTTCTGTGAATACAAATGTACACATACACACAATTTCTACTTGTGAGTAAAGAATAATCTCCTGGAATTTCTCTCAGGCTATTTCAAGATATGACCCAAATACAACCACCACTTAGCTGGTGTCATGTCTGTTGATCAAACTTGATCAACAAATGGGAGTAGGACTTAGTTAATATAATTTGAAATGTCCTGGAAGAAATTCCAGATAGCCAGCATGAAAGGCAATAAAATGCAATCGTGGAAGACAAAAGAGTGTCGATATAGCTGTATATAAGCCCCTTGCTTCTAACGGCATGCACAACAGACAATGTAACTTCACTCTGATGATAAAATGAACTTTGAGGGGCGGGATAGAAGTTGCACAGGGAGAATTAGAGACTACAGATCTTAACTTCAGCATATATTTACAGGTCTGTGAATGGCAAGAAATTTCCTCAACCACCAAAACATTGAAAGCTGAAATATTTATTTTGGCTAGCTTCAGTGTGAAAACAAATACATATAATACTCATGTTCTTACTGTTGACACCAGGAGCATGAGGATTATTGTAATTATATTAAAGTCGGAACAAGGATCTTAGGAAAGGAATGTATTTTTTAGATCTGTCTGTAGTCCCTCTGAAAGTGGTATGAAACACACCACCAACAGGTGCTTTTCATCTTCAAAGAACGTGTCATTAATTACTCCTTGCAACACACCTGTGAAGCAAGGACTCTATCCCTATTGTCCAGAAAGCAAGAGAGTCAGGAGGGAGGGGAGAGCAAGTACATGATGGAGGGGAGTTTGTGCTTCAGTTCCAGGCACTCTGTTTAATTCTGGACTTCATGTTATCTATCCATACATAGAGGCAGTCACAAATGAGAAAAAGGAAACACATTGCACCTACATTTCTTTCAGAGCATTTCTCCGGAGCTTTGCACTGGGAGGAAGTGAACTCTCTGCACACTCAGCAAAGTAATCAGACACTCCATGGAGAACTCTTTCTGTCTACTCCAAAAGATAACAAAGGTTCAACCAGAAATCTATTAGCTGAACATGAGAGAAAACAGTTACACTCTGAATGCCCCAATGAACACATTTATTTTTGTAAAGACTGAATGAAACTGCTCAGTGGTAAGCTATTTTAACCTTTTTTACCTAGAACTTTATGGTTAATTGTAACTTCTTTTGGACTCCCAGTCCACATTTCAAACATTAATATGTGCCATAAACATACAAAACTGTAAGGCAAAGAATGCTGATTCCAAACCATCTGGGAAGTCTTGGCCAATATCTGGTAACTGTGAGGCTCAGGCTGTGACAAAAGCCCCAGAATCCTACTGTGTGGGACAGCATGCCTGTGAGCTCCGTTCTTCCAGCAAGACCTGGTGACACGGTGGTCTACACCCTTACCATCCTAAGAATTCCCCATATTTTCTCTATCTGCAAAAATAAAGAATATTTTGTGGCCAGGCGCGGTGGCTCACGCCTGTTATCCCAGCACTTTGGAAGGCTGAGGTGGGCGGATCACGAGGTCAGGAGATCGAGACCATCCTGGCTAACATGGTGAAACCCCGTCTCTACTAAAAATACAAAA